CGTCATCGTCATCGCCACTTGCTGCCATTGCTGTCATCACCGGCCAATCACCTCCATCACCGACACATGGACATCACCATCGTCGTCGTCACCGGCATCGGCGCTGTCATTGGCCTTGCCGTCGCATTGCCAACATCGCCACCAGCACCGCTACTAGCATCACCGCTGCCGCCATTGTCGGCGTCATCATGATGCCGCGCCCGCCCTAATCACCGACCCGCGCTGAAATGGGCGCGCGCCAGCGTGTCCTTTTAGACGCGCAGGGAAGTTCTCATCGGGAAGCGCCGTCGCGGCCGCATCGGCTGCGCCAAACCAACTGGTCGCTCTGCGCGCGAGCTTGCGCGCGATAGCGCAACCGCAGAGATGCGCCAGCCAGGGCCGAGTAACCGCCGCACTTGCAGCCGCATGGGTTGCGCAGGTTGGGGGCGGACGGGAAGGATGATTGCAAGAGCTTCGGCAAGGTGGGTTGTGCCCCATAGATTGCAAGATACCGATTGCCCCGCGCTGTTTGCTGCAATGTTCCGCGCCCCAGCAGCTTGCGCAGCGCAGTTCGCGCCGCGCCGCCTGTGCCGCATAGCTTGCGCCGCGTAGCTTGCGCCGCGCATGCTGCATCCCATATGTTCACCATAGATTGCACCGCGTATGTTACGAAGAGCATGCGATCCCGCAGTCTCCCGTGCCGGGGAGTGCACTGGCGAAGCCATGCTGATGACGCGGGCAACCTCTCTCTGGCAACACAGCGCGCATTGTTACTGAGCTCTCCGTCAGGCAGGAACAATCCGATAAACAGTCCTGCCGCGACGAGAGGCGGGATCATGAGCGCTGAAACGAGCAATCATAATGCTTCCGACTGGAGAGGTCTGCCCCCGCTTTAGCGAGATTTCTGAAAGAACAAATTGCGAAGCAACGGCAATCTTGAAATGCAGAAAGATTGACGGCGGCGCGGGCGGGGGACTTGAGCCGTTACATTATGCAAGGCGCTTCCTAAGCTCTATCATAGCTCGTGAACTTTACAGTGATCCCGCAATCTCCCGTGCCAGGACGTTCACTGGCGAAGCCATGCAGATGGCGCTGGCAACCTCTTTGTGGCAGCACAGCGCGAATTGTCACTGAGATCTCCGTCAGGCATGCAACGAGCAGAGACAGTTCGATAAACAATCCCGTGGCGCAGAGAGGCGAGATCGCGAGCACTGAGACGAGCAACCATGGAGCTCCCATGCCCACAACCACGTGTACACTACGAAGTGACACAACAAAGCAGCGAGATGGAAGCGCACACGCGGGCTGGAGGAAAGGAAGAACAAAGAGGCGAACCAAACCTAGGAGGCTGTCAGGGCATCTGTAAGGCCCCTCATAATTTGCCCAGTCAGCTGCGCGATCACCGCACAGGCAAGGGTGGCGCAGAGGGATGCGGGATAGGCCGGAGCCCGCCTAATGCAAAGATGCCCTTTTGCATCTTTTCCTGTGAGATGTAGACGTTTGTGCCCGGTAGCTGAACAGCGCCCCCCAGCCCCCGTGCACCGATTGAGGTCTCAGAGGAAGCCAAGATGACCAGGAAGCCTGTGGGTTTCTTCCATTGGGTGCCATATTGACAGTAGTGAGCCTCCAAGATACGCCCCTCAAATTTCCGTTCAAGATATGTCACTTGTTTGTTGAGCCATAAGCGTGAAGTCAGCTGGTTCTCTATGACGATGGGGGCCCCAAGAGCGGCGCTTTCGCATATGATTCGGGACGTGCAAGACCGCAGCTTTGTTCCCAAAGAAAGCCTAGCCTGATCACGATCGGATAAGTCTGGCAAGCCCCAGATATAACGATAGTCGTCTCTGAGTGGTCCAGGGCCCTTCCCGTCGTTCTTTGGGGCATGACTCCAGTCCTGACAGAGAAGGGCTGCCAGTAGTGCTAAAGCATTTCCGTTCTTAAAATCCTTCATGAGCCGGCGCCGGTTACGGGCCTGCAAGATGTCAGCACCGGGGCCGCTCATCACGCCCCAAGCCTCCGCGTCGACGCCCACCCTAGCTACGGCGCGCGAGAAGCCCGCCTCACCACTGAATAACTCGATGACTTTCTTGCTCTCGAAGAGAGCGCGGCACGGATGGGCTGCGGCATGTCTGATAGGAGCTTTTCCTTCGGAATCTGTAGGCAGTAGAAGGATTGGGTCTGTGTCTCCTCTGAGACGAGCTTCTCCTGTAGCTGCAGCACCCCGTGGGCCTCGTACTTTTTCGCCGACCTGTCGCCCCGCCATCGGCCTCTGCCCTTGACCTCGGCCTTCGGCCGCAGTCGGTTCAGGATGTCGTGCGAGGACCCTCCGTGCCCGAGCTGGTAGAGGTCGGGCCGTATCACTGACAGCCCGCGCATCCTGGCCGCGTACTTGAAACTCTCGTTCAAGCTCCCGTAGTCGAATCCGAATAGAGCTGGCCCTGCAGCCGCGACCCGGCGCGCGCCCAGAAGGCCTCCTAGGAACGGGGGGGCTAGGGAGTCCAGCAGCAGCGTCTCGTCGCACAAGCCGACCTTGCTTGGTTGCCCCTGCTCCGCTCGGTGCAAGTCCATGGCATAGAAAGGGGCTTCCCTGAGTGGGGACCAACGCGTCGGTGACCTGTAGCGACAGCAGCTCGATCGGCCTCAAGCACGTGGAGAACATCAGCAATACTGCCAGGGCCATGTCGAAGCGCCCCCGACGCCCTCGCCATCCTGGCAGACGTAGTCCTGGAAGCGGGCTGAGGAGCAGTCTGAAGGCCTCGTCGCGGTCGCTGGCTAGACGCCGCGCCCGCCTGAATCTGGGAGTCCGGGAGGTGTCCTGAGAGGGAAGGAGTCGGCCTTCTGGCTGAAGTTGCGGGCAGGCGGCCCGCGCCTTGAGGCTCTGGGCCCCCCTCCATGCTCGAGCCTCAAGTGCCCCCAGAGGCGCGAACCCTAAGGGCTCCGGCGGTGGTGAATGCGCGACGAGGTAGCCAGTGCCGAGGCGCAGATCCTCCGACAGCAGACCAGGCGGGTGAAGTTCTGCATGCGACCCTTCTCCTGGCCCAAGACGTTCCCAGAGTTGCCCCCTAGATGAAGATGATACGATCGAAAACCTCCAGAAGACCTCAGGGCGCGCTTGATGCCAAACGCTGTAGCCTGAGACTCCAAGTCCCCAGTACCCTCTTGATAGACGAACGGCGCGGCATAGCTGGTAATCCACATGGGGTGTTGCAGGAGGCCCTCGGGGATCTTTTTGGAGAGGAAGTTGGGCTCGTAGGGCGAGGGCTCGAAGCGGTCCAGAATGGGTTTCACCGTCTCGAGGTCACTGAAAGGGTCCGAGGAGCCTAGTGCAGCACGTCGACGCGCGACCGAAGGAATAGCACACCGATAGCGAAATCACTCTCTTGCGGTGCCCGCCTCATTGACATCCGACAAGTTCCATTGGGACTTCCCCGCTGCATAGCCAGACAAAGAAGCATCCGTGACTTTGACCTGCTTGGCCCACGGCGTCCTCAAGTCCGCCCATGCGAGCGGGGGCAGAACACTGATCCATCTGCACCCCTGCGCCGCTGCCTGCCAGAACCGCCACTTGCGACTCCAGTTCTCGCGCGTGAACTGGCACGGGGCATTGGGCGGCGAGAACAGCGAGCGGGTGAGAAGGAAGATCGGCGTGACGTAGCCGAGAGCCTAACTAATCTGCCAGCCTGTGACACGCGGCCTTCTCGCGAGGTGACCGAACGCAGCAGCTGCTATTTCCAGCCGAAAGGGGGGCCAGGAAAGCGCCGCCCCTCTCGCCGTCCACTAAGAAGTCCAGGGACTCGCAAAAAGCTAGTGGCCCCACCTCCTCATGCACCTGGAAGCTCACGCGTCCATGCTGTTCCACAGCGAGGTTCTTGCAATTACCCGCAGAGTTCTTGTCGGTACCCATGACAACAAGATGGTCACAATAGGGGAAGAACCACAGGGACCTTGTAGTCTGGGTGCGGGGTGGACGCATCCTCTTCCAAGACACGGCCCGAAGATAAGCCAGCCTCAAGAAGTATTTGATATGTGTTAGCGCGCCGTGCGAACCAGAGCGCCCAAGACCAGCCCTGTGGACAAACACGCATAACAGGAACAAAACGCATCAAGGATTGCGTCAACTGTGTCCAGGGCCCGTGGCGCGGCACCCCAGCTCGAACCTCTTTTAGACCAACCGGCGGGAGGGCGAAGTACTTGCGCAGCAAGTCTGGCAGGACGAGCCAGCCGCAAAACTTGCTGACGCCAGATAGCGCGCCGTGCAAGACCGCCCCCGCAGGGGCGTGCAAGCGAGCGAGAGCGGTTCCCGTCGCCAACCTCATCCGAGGTGGCGCCCTGGAACGTCGGTTCGGACCTCTGCAATCCATGACCACGCGAAGGGCGACGCCTTTCTTGTCGACAAAGAGTGGAGTTATGTGATCGCCAACCTCGAACGAAAACTTGACGATACCAGCCGACAACAAGTCTTGCACCGCAGCCTTCATACGCAATCTGATGCGACAGTAAGACCTCATCGTAGTCGGGAGTGACATGGGCTGATGTCTCAATTACTTCCCCCAAATCAAGCGGGGTCGTAAGCATGCGATCGGCCCCCTCGAGCAAAATCTGCCGCCCCTCGAGGCGAAGGGCGCCCTCGAGCACAGGCGCCCTCGCGCCCGACTGAGGCAAATACACTGGAGCAGAGCGAAAGGCCTGGCGCGACCCGAGACCTCTTCCGAAGCATAGGAGAAGTCAGTGCGCATGATCTCACAAAAGGCATCATGCGGGAGAGGTACAGATTTTCCACTGCCTGGAGCTGAAGCGAGCTTGCTCTGAACCTGATGGCGGGCTTCCTCCCGGGCGAGATTGGGCGCGGCATCCGTGGGCCGACGCCGTGCACCTCATTGAGCACGCCGCGGACTTCTGCGGCAATCCGCGCTTTCCGACCTCGCCGCAGGAGGACCCTAGAAGAAAACATAACTTGCTTAGGGGCGCGGGCTCCCGCATCGACTGGAGGCAGCGGGAAAAAAGGTCGCGAGGCCTGTCACCCGCCACCGCCTGGCCGACGCGATGAGCACGATGAGGTCCGAGGACCTCCGCAGGGCGAGGCTGATGCCGAGGTAGAAGAGCATGCGGGCCAGTGCCTGGGCCACGGTGCCCTCCCGTGGGTCGGCCAATTCCCTCGGGGGGCGGGGCGGGGCTCGTCCGTCCCCGCCCGCGGGGCCCAAGCCGCCTCGACCGCCGCGACCTCTGCCTCGGCCGCGGCCGCGTCCTCGGGCGCGCTGTTCCTCACGGGCTTTTCTGCTCTCCTTCGCGATCGCAGCCTGGTCCTTCAACTGCCCAGCCGCGTGCTGCGCCAGCGCGGGATTGGTGCCTCCGCCAGCCGCCTGCGAACCCCACCCCATGAACACATCCCCAGCAGAGCAATCGGGATTAGATGTTGCTGCTCGGTGAGCTTCTTTCATCAAACTCATACGGCGGCACACAATCTCTGCCCACTCCATGGAGGGAAGATTTAGCTGGTCGTAAGTCACAGCCGCGTCCACGATCCTGCACAGTACTTGGTGTTCATGCACTGACCGATCGCCTTCTGGAATTCGACCCAAACGCACCCACCTCTCATGATGATGGTTTGGATTCGAGTCGTCGTCACGAATCTGCTTCAACTGCCAATCGGTGATCGCTGGGCCATCCAAACCGGCACAGCCGCGCGGCGGGGTGGGGCCCATGGCCGAGACAGCCTCGGCGAAACTAATATTCCTTTCTCCCGGGGCGTCTAGGGTAACTGGGAGCACCCTCAAGCCGTCATGCACAAAACACACATCCGCCTCTGGCATACGACGAACGAGTAAATACCCTGCTCCCCACGGCATGACGCCGCGATCCCCAGCAACCAGAGCATCAGGCGGGAGCGCCGTGATCTGCGTCCCCTTGGCGATATCCAGGATGTCCTCCGCCGCGACCCACACATGTGGAGCCAGGCCGCCCAGCGCCCCAACTGCCAGGGGCAAACCAGGCCCAGGAAGGACAGCAACCGCCGCCGCCACGCCAGGAAGAACAGCAGCAGCTAACGCGGGCTGCGGCGCGGGCGCAGGCCCAAGGTGCGCTCCAACTGCAGTGGCCGCCTGGACGAGGGCGCCCGCGGGCGGCGCAAAGGGGACCCAGCGCCGCCTTGGCGGGAGCCGCGCCCGCCGCCACGCAACCCACCACAGGCACCACAGGGGCTGCTGGCAGCGGCACGCCCGCCTGAAGAGCTCCGTCCCTCACGCCTTGCATCATCTCCTCTGGCGTCGGGACCGCTGGGCATCGGTAGATCTGAATAGCGGCAATCCCTTCGGGCGCGCCGCCCAAGCCAAGGGACCTCCTGAACTCCGCGAGGTCGACCCGAACATGCTCCACGAAGATGTCCTCATCAGGCGTGAGCACCGCGAAGCATCCTGGCTGCGGGGCCACTGCCAAAATGATGCGCTCATGCCAGAGCGGAGGGCCAGGTAGGTCATACCTGTCGAGCACCACTTCACCTGGAGCCGCCATGACGCTGGCGGATGAACGACAGCTGTCTCAAGGCCAGCTCTCGCGTGCCGTCGTCCTCTTGCGGCGTCGCCAAGGCCGTCCTGCGCGCACACACGCTGCAGCTCCCTGCCAGACCAGCACACGCGAGGATCGCGAAGCCGAAGACGAGACCCGCCACGAAGCCCAGCACAACAGTCACTCCAGACGGTCCACTGCTAGACGTGTGAACCTGAGGACACGCGAAGGTCTGGCACGTGATGTTGATAGCCAGAGTCGCACAGGTCACTGCAGGGCAGGTCACAGCGCAATCGGGGCACGGGGAACACTGCTGAGTGCCGAAAGCCCAGAGGATGCCAAGATCTGAAACCTTAGAGGCCGCCAACTGGAAGGGCCAGGCGACCATTGGAGAGACTTGAGCCGTAACGTTATGTACGGCACTCCCTAAGCTCTATCATCGCTCGTGAACTTTACAATTGCGCCGCCTGAATTGCACCACGTGGATTGGACCACGCAATTGCCCCCCAATGTAGAGAACAACATGTAGAGCACATCCCCCGTGCAAGAACCCATTGTTCAGAGATCCGTGCCGACAAGCATTGTTTTGTTCAAACGTTCTCGGTTTCACAGTCTTGAGAGCTTCCAGGACGGTCCAGGAGACCCCCGAAATACCCCCCAAAGAAACCCACCGAGGCCCCCAAGAGGCCCCAAAGATGTGGTACCCGAGCTGGCAGGTCGAGCCCTTGCCTCCAGGATGGCCAGGCCCCCAGGGAGCCCCTCAAGAGGCTCCAAGAGACGTCCAAAAGACTCCCAAGAGGCTGCCAAGAGGTTCCAAGAGGCCACAGGAAGCCGCCCAACAGATCTCAAAAAGGTCTCTCCTCTTGTCCACGGTCCATTCACGGTAGCTGGGTGGGCCGAAGGCCGCTACATACTTGCAGCATCAAATCTTGCTAGACATACAAGCATAAGTTTGCACACTTGACTACGCGCAGAAAAAGAAGGTGGGAGAAGCAGAGACAGAGAGAGGGAGAGGGAAATAGCTAGAGAGAAATGGATCGAGAGAGAGAGAGAGGAAAACAAAAAGAGAGAGAACGAGAGAGAGGGATAGTGGTACGTGCTTCGACGATCTTGGGCCTTGGCAAGGTGCCCCAGGAGACCATCGGCCCATCGTGGCATACGAAACTGTCTTGGGCCACCTACAAGCACGCCAATTCCCTGCCTGCCGTGCCCGCTGCAGGGAGCAGCAGCAGCAGGAGCACAGAGGCGAACAGAGAGAGACAAGGGAGGACTGAGGAGGAAGGAGCGAGGGAGCGGAGAGGAATGAGTGGGGAGCGAGGTGTGTTGGCGGCGCGCGCGACGGGGTGAGGGGAGGCGGGAAGGCTTCTTGGAAGGAGGCTGCTTCTTAGAAGGCGCCGGCCTTACATCTACAGGCAAGGCCCGCACACTCGAAGAAGCATGGGTGCTTGTGAGAAGCCTGCCACCCTCCCTCTACCTCCCTGTGCGCGCCGTCAAGGGGGGAATGGTGAGAGGAGGGAGGGAGAATAGAGGATGGAGTGTTTGGGGGTTGCGTACCGCACCAGGACTTCCATAGCCACCACGAGGATCCAGCGAAGGGACGGAGAGGGATGAGTGGGCTGCGAGGTTGGGGGGGGATGTGGAGAACCAAACGTCGACTTACACATTAAACTCGGAGGTCCGCGCGGATTTCTTGGACCGGCGCTGGACCCCTGTGGTGGCGCCTCCAGCGCCACTGTCGCTCCGCGCGCCAGGAAAGGAGTATGGCGCCGACCTCAGAAATCTGCGCGGTCCTCCGAGTTGTTCTGTTTACATCCTGGTTTGGCTCTTTAGGGTGGCGAGAAGAGAGCGGGAGGACAGATGATGGAGTGTTTGGGGGCTACGTACCGTAGCAGAACAGGCCTTACAGTGGACGCCCGAATTATCCAGAATCACTGCGGTCTGGGATATTTCAGGATTGGGCCCCGGAGGCACGAACCTGTAACCACCCCTGATTGCCCCCAGCCCCGATGATTCGGGAGGGTTGGACGCCCGAATTATCTGGGATAGCTGCGGTCAAGAGTAACTCCAGTTCGGGCCCCCGAGGCGCGAATCTGCAGTTACCCCTGATCACCCTGGGCCCTGCTGATTCGCAGCTGATTTCCTTGGGAAGCAGGACTGAGGCGCTGCAGACGAAAGAAGGGCAAAAGGAGGGATGTAGGACGCACGGAAGAGCCAGGAGGGATGAGGGAGGCGGGAAGAGGGACGATCGAGGAGGGCACAGGGAGGAGTGAGGGTGTTCCATCTGGGGCTGCCAAGTCGAGCTTTCAAAACAATAGAAAACAGGTGTCGCAGGGGGGAGAGGTAGGATCGGGAAGGCATAAGGGGTGATGTGCAGCAGCACGAGCAGGAGAAGCATGAGGGGGAAGAGGCATGAGGGGGAAGAGGCAAAGAAGGAAGGGAGGAGGAATGGGAAAGTTAGGAGTAACCGACTGGCTGTGGCCCATTGGGTAGATTCCCGTATGTACGCGACGCTCCTCCCTTCTGCGAACGCCTCCGACCTGTAGGCCCCGCGGGCCCTCGCAGCCAGTGAGAAGAGCGATGACAGGAAGAGCAGAGAAAGAGGGAGAGCAGAAAGAGCTGAGGACGAGGAGGAGAGAATAGGGAGGGAGGGAGGGAGGGAGGGAGGGGTCACTAAGTTGACAAGACGACAAAATAATTAAGCTGATACAGAAGGCCTGCACAGGCCAGAGGCACCAGGAAAGCTGCCGCTGCGGCGACCAGGCTGAAATTGGATGCCCAATCCCTCCAGCGTCTTCTTATCCTCATTGCCCTCCTACTCGTCATCCTTCTCCCACTCCGCCTCCTCCAGCTCATCAGACATATCCTTCTCCCCCCCCCCCTCCTCCGCCTCTTCCTCCTCGTCATCATCCTCTCCAACCCCCAGCTCCTCCTCCCCATCCTCAGGCGCATCCTCGTTCCTCTCCTCCGCCCCTTCCATCTCCTCCTCCTGCTCGTCTCCCCATTCCCTTTTTCTCGTCCACCCCCTCCCTCCTCCCGATCGGCGCTCCGACAACGCGCTGCCCGTAGTTGAATGTTCAAATACTTCGTGCGTCCAGCCTGAGAGTCATGAGGGCGTCCCGGCTCCGAAACAAAAGCAAGCACACAAAAAAACAGAGGCCGCGCGGCCCAGGATGCTGGCGGCGCGAAGAAGGAGTTTCCCCACCCCCCCTTGGCTGGGCACTCGTTTTGAAAAGAGCACTAACTGCTGCTCCCCTCCCATGCCGTGCGATCCTATCCCGCCCCGTCCCCTTCTCTACACCTCTGCTCTGCGCCACTTGACCTCCCCCTCGTTTCCGTCCCCGAGTGTTGGCAACTGTGCAGATGGTACCTCTTTCGCCAGATTGCTGGGAGGTGCAGCGGAGTTCGGTCTTACAGGGATCCACGCGAGACCTTACACTCCATGGTCGCTCCTTACTGCGCAACTATGGCCGCTTTTGTGATCTCCTGGGAGGTCCAGCTGAGTGCAGTCGCAATGGAGCTCAAACGACACCTCGCCCTCTCTGGTTGCCCCGGGCGCCCCCAAGGGAGCAGCTGCCACCACTGCCATGAGCTCTTGGGACATCCCGCGGCATGCGGTCTGATTTGCTTGCAAACGAGACTTCACCTTTCCTGGGTACTGCCAACTACGCGAGCGCCGCCACTCTCGTCAGCTCGTGGAAGGTCCAGCCGAGTGCGATCTCACGGGGGCTCAAACGACACCTCGCCCTCCCTGGGTGTTCCCAAATGAGCAGATGCCAACACTGTCATGAGCTCATGTCCACGGTCGCCATGGTCGCCGTGATTCGATGTCGGCCTGCCAAGCACGCATGTCGTCGCCGCTGTCGTGAACTCATTGGAGGTCCGGCGGGGTGCGGCCTTCCAGGGCGACTAACGAGACCTGGCCCTCTCTGGGTGCCAAATCGCACCCGATTTCGTGATCTCCTGGGAGGTCCAGCTGAGTGTGGCCTTGTGGGGGCTCAAAGACACCTCGCCCTCTCTCTGGTTGCTTCCAAGTGAGCAACTGTCACCACCGTCATGCGCTCACGGGAAGTCCCGCGGGATGAGCTCTGATTTGCCTCCGGACAATACCTCGCCCTCCCTGGGTGCAACCGACTGCGCGACTGTCGCCACTCTCGTCAGATCATGGGAGGTCCCAAGGGGTGCGGTTTAAACAGGGATCCAAGCTACATTTCGCCCTCCCTGGGTGCTGCCAACTGTTGATGTCGCCATGGTCGCCAACTTCGGGGAGGCTCAGCGGACTGCCGCGCGATGCATACCCGAACGAAACGTCGCAACCCCCAGGTGCTCCGAACTGCGCAACGGTCGACGCCCTCATGGGCATGTTCGGCTTCCCCATGCAGAGGATCACGTGCGCAAGCCTGCCATCTTTCATGCCAAGGTCCGCAAGTTCACGACACGCCAGAGCCAGACACGAGGAAACGATCGTCGACTCTAGTTGCAAGGACGCCAGCACGGACGGGCTCTGGCAGCACCTGCGCGTCAATGTGCGTGATGCTGGCCAGAGCGGCAAGGTCGGACAACCTGCTGGTGATCCGCGACCAAGGCCTGGGTTTTCACTCCCGATCGCCGCCCGAGGACTTGAAGCACAAGGCGGAAGCCCGCACTGAGAAGTGCAGGGCGGAAGCCGTCACACTGGCGAGCAGGCTCAGCCTGGCCATATTCCTCCTCGACTGAGCGGAAGAATCGCCAGACCGTTTGCAGCGCGCCCATCTGTTTCTTTTTGCGTTAAACGCCCACACAGTGGCAATCGCGAGGCTGCGAACCTTTCGTGCCAGTGCTGAGCGGTGCAGGGTTGAGGCATCGAACATACACCTAGGAACGCTATAATCCTCACCCTGGGATCGCTGCCGCATGAATAATGTTCAAAAAGGTTGGCACTGATCGCATGCCAGTCATCATCGCCCTCCACGCTGCAGTGCTGGTGCTTTCCCTTGCCCACGCGATCTCCCCTTTGTATAATTACTGATGTCCTCACTCCCCAATGTGTCATCTCCGCCATTTCCTATTCGTTGACAGCGCCTCATACAAGCCACATTGGGCGCGCAATCAATGACTCGAGCTCCCCAGATAGATTTCGCACAGAGCATCACGATATTGCAATTGTTCCTTAATCTTGGATGGACCCGCTAGAATTGCGACACAATGACTATGGGCTGGGCACGTTTCTAATATTTTCGCGCGGCGTCGTCTTGCCAAACGTATTCCGCCGGCACCTCGGGGGGCTAAAAAGCTGAAAGGACTAGGCTGTCTGGTCACCCCCAGGGAGGGAGCCCGAAAAGGGCACGGTTACCTTTCTGGGACCTTCTTTATTGGCGTGCCCAGGAAGGCGTGACCGGCGACAAATTCGCGCACTCCAAGCCACACCCCCGTGGAAATTACAACGCTTTCGCACGATCGAAACCACAGTCAGCTGCATGACGTCAACGGGGCTGGCGCTCCCGATGCCGACAGCCCCTCGCGAAGTACAGGAGACTCGCGCTCCCGACGACGCAAACATTAGCAAGCTGCAGCGCGTCTGCGCCCCCGAGGCCACATCTCCTGACAACATACACTCGACCAGGATAGTAAGGATGCGCGGTAAGGATGCAAGGGCCTTGGAACGCCATGATGACGTTTTCCGTGCGGAGCGCAGCAGATTGCCGAAAGATGCCGAATACCGAAGGGGCAAGGATGCAAGGGTAGCCTCGGAAAGTTGCCCCATCCTTACTATCATGGTTGACTGCACAACGGGTTCACACTCCCAAAACCACAGTCCCCAGCAAAATCACTGCACCTTTGCGTGCCTGGAGGCCACGAACCAGCCCCACGGAGGCTGCCCAAAAAGCGCCACTCCTTTCTCTAGAGACCAGGGCTAGCACTCTCCGTACTGGTAGATGTGTTCTAGAGGCGCTTGTCGGCAACCCCACGTTTCTGAGAATCCGGCTCTCGACCCGGGAGCACGAAACATCGAACATAACTAGCTAGGGGTTGGACCTCACGAAGCTGCGGTCGTAAATCACAATGGAAGCACACTCCCGCCACCATCGCTCATCAATTACCACAAACGCGCGCAATCAGCCAGATGGCAAACAGCCCAAAGGAACGGCCAATCATCAATTTAGCCATCAAGCCGATCAGCCAATTTGCCAGTCAGCCGACCGACAATAGAGGCCTCCCTGATGGGGTCAGAGTAGATGGGGTCGGAGGATCGCGCCGCATCGCAGATGCATCGCCGACGTTAGCGTGGAGAAAATTGGCATCACTTCGAGCCGCGCATCGCCGAAGCATCGGCGGTGCGGCGCGATCCTCCGACCCTATCTACTCCGACCCCATCTGGGAGGCCTAGAACCAAGAAGATTAACCAACCCACCGATCGAGCGCGGCCATGCGAGCACCTTGCATGAGGGGGGGGCGGCGGCAGAGGGTGCAGCCAAAGCGGCGCGCACAAGGGGGTAGGGGAAGGGGGGAAAGCTTCTTAGAAGGAGGCTGCTTCTTAGAAGGCGCCAGCCTGACATCTACAGACCAGGCCCACGCCTTCTAAGAAGCAGGGGTGTTTCTAAGAAGCCTTCCCCCCTACCCCTACCCCCGTCTGCGCGTGACCGACAACCGGCAAGAAAACCAACCAATCCGCCGATCGAGCGTGGCCAGGCGAGCACTCCGCATGAGGGGGGGAAGCCGGCGGCAGAGGGTGCAACCCTTCAGATATTTCGACGTGTTGGCCCTGTTCGGGCCTCCCGCGACGGACGAACGAACAGCATACACCTATGCCCATAGGCGGGTCGGAGGGAGGACGACCGGCTATGGGTACGTATGGGTGCGGCTTGTCGAACCCTGGGGGAGGCTCCCGTTCGAGCGGGGACCCCTGTCTGACATCATGCACCCATAGCCCCCTCCTGCTCTCATATGGGTATGGGTGTGTTGTGCGTTCGTCATCAATAGGTTTCTGTCGGCACCTGGGGGGTTCATGAGGTTTCTAAGGATCTGCAAAGACCTCCGAGGCTTCCGGAGTCCTCTGGAGGATCATGCGAAAGGGGCGGCATTCAAAGAAGGCAGGTGGCTCCTCGAGTCCCACCACCTCTCACAGGCTTCCAAGAAGGTTTCTCGGAAGGGCAGGAAGGCTTCTGAGAGGCACAGGCCCTTCTTGGATGGCCATCCCCCATCGCCTTTCCACCTTCTTTGCGCCGCAGCAAGGATGCTCAGGACTGCTGAGCCAACCAGCAAGGTGATCTAATCGTCGCGCAACCAGGAATTGTCAGGCGCTGGCCGCGCGCACCTCCGCTGGCCTTTCAGCAGCAACCGCCATCCGAGCTGCTCTCGTCATCGTCAGAATCGTCGCTCTCCTTTCCGCTGAACTCCGCGTACTTGACGGGCTCCTTCCCGTTCTCCCTATCCTTGCTGGAACCGCCGCCGCCGTGGCCTCCCGCACCGCCAGTGACCACGTTGTACGCAGAGAATGCGAGGATGTTGACGACTGCAGAGACGACCATGATGGGGCCGTACCTTGAACTCCGCTCCTGCCGAGACCCGCCAGAACCTCCTGAGGTCTCAGGGCACTGACGATCGCCGCCCGCCTCCTCTCAACCTCCCTCGTCTTTTTGAACCAAATTTCCTTATAGATAACTCCTCCCTGTCGCACCCCCAGGTGCGTCCGTAAGGCGGGCTGGGCGCCCTCGCGAGTTTTGATCCTGGAGGTTGGAAGCTGCAACAGTTTCTCGATGGAAGGCGGCTCAATCTCAAAATGTGGTTCTCGCCTTAGAGTCGCGCACATTCGACTTAAAAGTTGGCAGCACCTTCGCGGATGGGGGGCGGGTGGTTTTCAACATGCGGCTCTCGCCTTGGCGCCGCGCACATTCGTCCTAACGGTTTGCAGCAGCTTCTCGGATGAATGGCGGGTGGTTTGCAACATGTGGCTCTCGCCTTAGCGCTGCGCACCTTCGCCCTGCAGTTTGCAGCAGATCCTCGGATGGAAGGCGAGTGGTTGTCAAAATTTTGCTCTCGCATTAAAAAGTTTGCAACCGTGTAACGGATGAGAGGCGATTGTTTTCAACACGTGGCTCCCCCAATAGCGCCGCGCACATTCGTCTAAGCAAGGAAGGTGGACGGCGGCTCCTTTTCAAACTGCTGCTATCACCTGCTCGCCGCGCACATTCGTCCCACAAGCTCGCAACCGTTTCGAGGATTGTGTGTTGACACGATTTGGGATTGCCACGACGCAACAACCACGCTGATTCGCGGACATTAAATCCCAGGAATGGTGTTCTGCAACGATTGTCAGGACACAGCTGTCGCTTTCACACGCGGCGTCGAAGTCCCATGAACTGAGTTTTAGCACGATTGCGGATTATCCGACGGCTGTCTTCTAATGGGCCGCTGCCCGCAGTAACAATCGGTTCCGGAGCCTGTGACGAGGGAGCTTGGAGGGACGGTTCTTTGCAACATCGTTGATGCGCCTTGGGTTTAGACAGGTCCTCCTTCTCCTTCTCCTCCTCATCATCATCCATTTCTTCTTCCTCATCCTTCTCGTACTCTTCCTTTCACCTTGGCATTGGCCCCTGACTTCTTCAAAGGTACCCCCTGCCCCAAACGCAGCAAGGTTGCTAACGTGGCGACGAGAAACTTACTAACCGGAAAACGAAGCGGGTCTCAACACCATCCTAAACATCCTCCTCCTCCTCGTCCTTCCCCTCTCCGCCTCCTCCTCCTCCTTTTCCCGTTGGCCAAACTTGAATCCTAGGATTGTGGCGTTCTGCCTCCTCCTCCTCCTCCTCCTCCAACTCCCCTTCCTCCCCCTCCCCCCCGACTCGTTCGCGCATCGCTTTTCCTATATGATGCACTTGGGTGTTGGTTTCTATATTTCTTTCGATCCGACTCCGGCCTCAGCGTTAGCCGCATTTCACAATCGGCGCCTTGCTCCTGGTCGTTCAGCATGGTGTTCTCGTCCGAGCGCTGATCACACTTCTGGATCTGTCGTTCCTCGTTGTTACCTCCGCCCCCCATCTTTCCCCCATCCCCCTCGGCTGATCCTTTTGCTGTTCCTGCTCCTGCTCCTGGTCCTACCTGACCCGCCGCATCATTAGCCGCCGTCTCCTGCTTGTCCGCCTCCTGCTCCTCCTGCTCCTCTTCCTGCTCCTCCTCCTGCTCCTCCTCCTGCTCCTCCTCCTCTTCCGGTTCTGCTGAGACTGATAGTTACTTCCTGCAGCTACCGAGCAAGGTCCTGTTGGACTTCGCCAGTCACGAGATACAACAGGATACAGCGCAATTGCTACTTCTCGTAGGATCCAGCGCAATGGGAAGGGCTGGGCGGGATGGGTATGGGACCAGATGTGGTGCGAACGCACCTGGCGCAGTCGTCCTCCCGCATCTTCCCCCGCCCTGCCCCCCACGTTTTGCCTCCTTCTCGTGCCCCCTTGGCCCTTCCCGAACGCCCCTCTCCCTCCCATCTTTGGGGGGAGGAGGGCGGGGGCGCAATGAACAAGGCGAAAAGAACGACACGCACCTCTTCCAACGCTTTTCAGCACTTTTTGGGCCCGCGGCGATAGTCGGACCGTTTCGGGCCACTCTCCTTCGATCCTCGACCCCCCTCCTGGCTCATCGCCCCACCGCCCCGTCGTTGCCGACCGCCCCTATCCCGCTCCGCTCCCCCCTTTGGAGGCCACGGTGTCAATTTAGAAACCGGTTGAGGCCACTCCCCTCCGATCCTCGACCCACTCACCGGCTTATTGTCTCTTCGCCCCGTCGTTGCCGTCCGCCCGATCCCGCTCCGCTCCGCTCCTGTTGGGGGCCACGGTGGCAGTCTGGAACAACCGATGAGGGCCACTCTCATCCAGCCTTCGATGCCCCGACTGGCTCGTTGTCCCCCCGCCCCGTTGCCGCCCGCCCGAACCCGCTCCGATCCCCCCCTCTTGGGCCCCCCTGGTGGCGGTTTGGGAACCGTTTTGGGCCGCTCCTCTCCGAACCTCACCCCTCCAGGTGTACGGTAGGTTGGTGCCGTTACGGCACCAGCGTTGGTTTCTGACACCGCCTGGATCGTTCAACCTTTTGAACGATCGGCGGCTCTGGATCACCGGATCTCTCCATATTGACCGATAATGGGCCACTGGCGGCGCTCAACGTTGAACGTCCGCGGCAGGATTGCCGCCGCGTCGGCACGACGCGAACCCGCTGTATTGCCCCCAGTTAATGCCCGCCAGAGCGCCCCCCGCCGTCCCTCTGGCCCCTAGGGAGGGGCACACTTTTTAAAATGAGCAGGGCGCCCTGTGGAAGAGAAGAGGAGGAGCAAAAGCAGGACGAAGAGGAGAAGGGGAGGTGGGGGAGGATGGGGGACATACATTTTACAATCAGTAGAGCGCTTTGTGGCAGAGAGGAGGAGGAGGAGGAGAAGTAGAAGGATCAGGAGGAAGGAGAAGGACCATGAGGGGGAGGAGGAGGAGGAGGAGGAGGAGGAGGAGGAGGAGGAGGAGGAGGAGGAGGAGAGGAGGAGAGGAGGAGGAGAGAAGAGGAGGAGGAGGAGGAGGAGGAGGAGGAGGAGGAGAGAGAGGAGAGGAGGAGAGGAGAAGGAGGAGGAGGAGAAAAAGGAGGAGGAGGACGAGGAGGAGGAAGAGGATGAGAGGAGGAGAAGGAGGAGGAGGAAGGCGAGGAGAAGGAAATGGAGGAGAAGGGGGTGCAGACCTTTTACAAATGGCAGAGCGCCCTGCTGCAGAGAGAAAGGTGGAGGTGGGGGAGGCGGTGGAGAAAGAGGAGAAGGAGGAGGAGGAGGAGGAGAAGGGAGAGGAAGAGAACAAAGCAAAGAAGTCCTTGATCATAGACGCCATCATCCGACTACCACTCCAACCACCACGACATCCTGGACAATCTCGACACCCTTGCTACTCTGGCAGGGGACCCACAGGTCAGCTACAACACGGCCGAGACAATTCAGAAGAAAATCAACGCGGCCAACAACCTCGCTGACGATTTCCTCGACAAGCTCAACGACTACGTCACCAAACTACGCTCACAAGTACTGGCGATGGCCATCCTCGCCCCTATGCGACGCCGCACGAGATGCCCACGCGCCCGACGCCGACCACAGGCCTCCCCTACCGCCACCTCGTGAATGAGGACACATGACCGTATCCCCACCTCTCCCAACCCCACATCCACCGACGGTCATGCGCATCAGCCACAATCCTACGACCTCATCTACTCCGATTTCAAGTACCCCTTCTCCTGGGCCCGACTACGACGACATCTACCTCTGAGAGGAAGGGGAGTGTATGGGGCGTTGCGTGGTGGGGGGTGGATGAGGTATAGGGGGGGGATGCTGATGGGGGGTGGAGCGTGGCGCGGGAGCGGCCCGCCGTCATCCCGCATGTCTCTCTTTCTCTCTCTCTTTCTCTCTCTTCGTTTCCTCCCCTCCTTCGTTCGGAACGCCGTTCATGTCCTCCTTCGACCTTTTCTTTCGCGCCCCCGTCTGTTTCTCCCCCCTCGTACCTCGCCGGTCCTTTCAACGGTGATCGGCCCATTTTCGGAATGGTCGCCTCCTGCGGTACCTGACGGTACTTGCAGGAGGGGGCCAATGGCAGCACCCGTGAGGACATCATGCCATCAGGATAAGGATAGGAGGGGGGGAGGAGGAGGAGGAGGAGGAGGAGGAGGAGGAGGAGGAGGAGGAGGAGGAGGAGGAGGAGGAGGAGGAGGGGAGGAGGAGGGAGGAGGAGGGAGGACGAGGAGAAGGGAGGAGGTGGAGGAGGTGGATGGCAGTGGGCACACGCCCTGCGGCAGGTGGTCGATGCCGACCAGCAGGGCGAGCGGCACGGTGGCGGCCTGCCCACGACCCCTCCCCCCCCTCGCCACTCAATCCCGCGGGGAGGGCGGGGAGGCCCTGAGATGGCGAGAAAGCCGAGAGGGAGAGAGAGAGAGAGAGAGAGAGAGAACGAAAGGAAGGAAGGAAAGAGAGAGATAGAGAGAACAACAACGAGAGACTCGTTCCCTCTCTCTCTCTTTCTCAATCTCTCTCTCTCTCTCTCTCGTTATTTCTTTATTTATGTATTTATTTCTCTCTCTCTCTCTGTTCTGTATGTTTCTCTCTCTCGCTCTCCCCCTCCCTTACCCTCTACACACATATATATATAATATGTCTGTAGAAATTAAGATGTTGCAACTAGTGCTTGCACATAAGGTTCCTTGCGTGCTGTGAAACTGCCCTGGCGGCCGCGTTCCCGCCCGTCGCCGCACTAGGAGAAGACCCGTTTGCTGGCCCAGCGGCCCCGTTCCCGTCCGTCGCCGCCGCCCCGTTGTATCTCCCCCATTGCATTGCAATCGCATTGCATTCCCTTGCGTTGCTTCGCAATCACATAGCATTGCAATCGCATCACATCGCATTGCAACCGTTGGTTTGCATCTCATTACGTCGCATTGAGTTGCGTGGCGTTGCACTGCTTTGCATTGCGTTGCAATGCTTTGAGTTGCATTGGGTTGCACCGCGTAGATTGCACCACGTGGATTGCAACACCTAGGGTGAACCAAACTGATTCCACCACTTATATTGCGCCGCGCATAATAAAAAGAAATCGCTGCTAGGAGTCCAAATCTAACTTACACATATATATATATATATATGTACATCTCGCTCGTACCTTGAGGCGGATCCAGAGCTCCCAACAGGCGGGCCTAAAAGGGCACTCTAGAGATATCAACCAGAGCCTGCATGGCTCTGCGAAGCGTGAAAACGAATCGGTCGAGAACTTCCTCTGGCGCGGGAGGGTCGGGTTCAGGGGCGGTGCGTGCAACGTTGTAAAGATGGAAAGCACGCACCACCCGCTCCACCTCCTCAGGCGCTGGGGAGCCATCGAGGCCAATGCGCTGAGCCAGCGACGATGGGGGGCTCCTCAGGGTGGTATACAATGCCCCACAGAGCTGGACAGCGCATGTAGTGGGCCATGTCATCCCTGCAATCTACACGACGAAAACGACGGCCACGAATCTCGGTACTGCGCAGGCGGTAACTGGTGGGCCACCCGCCCACCACAGTCTTCAGGACTGCGCTTTGCCACGCTGGGGGGTCTCCATTACGGGCCAGACCCCGAAGAGGGGCTCAGTGCAGGGCACTAAACTCTACATCCCAGGAGGCGAGGCGCTTGGCGATTGCGTCCTGGCGAACATCGGGAAAAAGACTGGAGCGGAGAGAGGCAGAGAGGATCTTCTGGCGGCGCAAGCGCACAGGCGTCACCTGCGCAGCCTGCTCAGCGACGGAGGCGAGCGCGACGCGGGCTGCCTCAGAGTGCTCACGATGTCTGAAGCGCCCCTGCGCGGCATCCTCAACCTGCATGACACTTGGTGGGGCCTTCCAGAACTGCGGGGGCAGCCGCCCCAGCCCGATGACCTCCAGCGAGCCAACCTCCTCGACAGTCTTGCGGAGGCGCGCCAGCAGTGGGCGCCACGTCGTGAGCCTGGTGTCCGCAGCGCGCATCCTCGACGCCATGCTGAGCACGAGCATGCTGGCGGGTCTGACCGCTGACCACGATGCGATGCCAAGGAGGCCCCTCAGCGAGAAGGACTGGGGCGGGAGGTGCCAGCTTGTGCCATGCCCACGACTCGCGCCTCAGGAGTGACGCTGGAACTGGCATGAGCTGCATGAGGTAGCTGAGGACTGCCAGCACCCGCGTGTTATACAGGACCGTCGTGAGATGAATTGGGGCCCCAACGCGGGCGAATTCGCGAACTCGGTGGATCCATGTCGCGCCGACCTTCTGCCAAACGAGGTCGGGGGATGCGGCGGCGCCCGCGATCACGCCGAGATGCTCCGCATAGGGCACGATGTCCATGCGTTGCCAGTCTGGCAACGAGGAGGCCAGCCATGAGCGAGTAGTCGAGGCCAGCACCTCAGAGTAAGCCCCAGAGAACGGCGCGATCTTGCACTTCGGGGACTTCAGGCGGAGGCCTGCCAAGACTTCGGCAGCGCGGAACACGCGCCATAGACGGGAGAGGATGCGGCAGTCCTGCACGACGGCGCCCACGTCGTCCGCGCAGACCCCCAGCGCTGAGGAGGAGAAGACGGAGATGATGGACTCCATGTGCAGCACGAACGGGTTCATGGTCACTGCCCAAAGCGAGCCGCTGAGAGGGCAGCCCTGCGCGATCCCCGCGAGCACATGCATGAAGTGCCGCGGGCCCCCCCTCGACCGCCACGAACGCCGTTGGCAGCCAGTGCGTGCCCATAATCAGCTGGAGGATGCCACCGTCGAAGCCAGCGCTGCGCAAAGCAGCGAGCAGGAACGAGACCGAGAGCGAGGGGAAGGCGTTCCCGAAGTCGAAGAGCACCATGAGCGGCATGACGTTGGCAGCGTGCTCGGGGAGGCCCGCGATGTGGGCGAACGTGTCGAGCAAGGTGATGTTGTCCAGGAAGTTGCGCCCAGGCAAGAAGCCCCGCTGGGCAGCCGGCGCAGATCGCTCGATGCGGTGCTTGACCTGCGAGTTGCAGCCAGCCGCGACCAGCTTCGCATCACTGTTATTCAGCGCGAGCGGCCTTGTAGTTGCTGGAGAGCGAACAAGCCCAGCTGTGAGGTCAGTGTCCTCCGTGCCCTTCGGGAGGAACGCCATCAGGTGGTCGCTGAGGTCCATGGGAGGGGGGAAGCCCTTCGCGATCTCGAGGCTGATGTCAGCTAGGGCCTGGAGCGGAGCAGAGCTGCCACATCTGCTCCACGCGTCGTAAGGTAGTCCATCAGGGCCAGGCGCCGAGGGGCGCGCGCGAACAGCGGCTCGGAGAAGGTCACGATCATCAGGGAGACAGGCATCCTGAAGATCAGCGATGGGAACCGAGTGCTCCCGCAGGTACCGCGCTAGCAGCTCAGGGTGGCCCTGGTGCACGCGCTGGAAGATGGGGGCCCAGTGGTCTCTGAGCTCCCGCAGCACATCAGCCTGGGCGTTGACCACCCGCTCCTGACCATGCTCGTCGGGAAGGCGGAACCCTTGAAGTTTAAGAGCACGTGAGAAGGGCGTCCACAGCGCGGCACGTCGCCTCAACGAGCGGCGCATCGCGTTGATGTGGCGGTACGAGGTGCCGTCTGGTGGGAGGGCCCTGGCGCGTTGATCGAGCCGAGCTTCACGCCGTTCGCTGTAGACCCTCTGGGCTGCAGCGAACTCCTCCTCGAAGGCGACAGGGTCGCGCAATGAAATCTGTGGGCCGCTGTGGTGCTCGATGACCAAGTGCGAGGAGGCCAGCTTGGAGGTGGCAGCGAGGCGCTCCGCCAGGCGCAAGTCGTCGCGCCAGACCGCCCTCGCGATGGAGCGGAAGATGAACAGCTGGGTGTCGTTCTCGTCGGCCTTCGCGGTGAAGAGGAGATCCCTAACCCGCCGAGCAGCCTCCTTCATCAGGCGCTTGTGCTCCTGCCGCTGTTGGAAAGGCTGGAGCGCATCCCAGTTGACGAACTTCGACAGCAGTGCGAACTGAACGGGATACTCGGGGTCGCGGAAGATGTGCCTGGGAATAGGTTAAGCATCGTCCGCCAAAGGATGGCGAGCGGCAGTCGTGATGACCAGCGGGGCATGATCACTGAGGCCACGCTCATGTAGATGCTCAGGGAAGTCGCGGGTCGTGGCAGTGATGTGCCCTTGGATGGTGAGCCAGCTCGGAGAGGCGATGAAGGGCCTGTCGATCTGGGTGAGCATGGGGGGCGCATCATCCTGAACGTTGAAGTGGGTGGGGAACTCATTGTCGATCTCGATGAAGCCTTGGAAGATCGCCTGCCAGCGGCGCTCCTGCGGCCGCGGCGCCTGGTGGAGCGGCACCAGGCCCTTGTTGAGGAGTGGGGTGCGGGTGCGCAGCGGAGCTGCCGCGTAGATGTACATTTATATATACATATAAACAAAATGTACATACACACATAAGACCCAACCATGTCCAACTGTGCGCACCGCAAGGCAAGCGAGACGAGGGAGGGGGATCTCCCGAAGGGGGCACGAAGCCGACCAGCAGGGCGAACGGCCTGCCCCCCCGTCGCTCAGTTCCGCGAGGAGGGCGAGGAGGCCCCCTCGGGGGCGAGAAGGGAGAGAGAAAGCGAGAGAGAGAGAGAGAAAGACCCAGACATGCCAAGACGAAACCCGGACGAGGATCAAATCGGGAAAAGATACATGGAGAATCTCTGAGATCCGGAGGCTCTGGAGGACGCATCGGGCGCCGCGGCCTTCTCAGGCCGTTCCGGAACGCTCTGGAACGGATTCTTGACCCTCGCCCTGGCCCCGTCCGGCACGCTCGCGTCGTGAAGAGATCACGGCGGGAAACCCTCGGCCTGAGGCGGGCCTCCCAGGGCCCCGGGGCCCGGCAGGAGGCGGCTCGGGTTCCAGAGCTGGCCCTGGGGAAAGGGCCGGGACTTCTGGGGACCCCGTGCGGACGGACCTAAGACAGAAGAACATCCTTCAAGAACATGAGACCCTCCGCTGGCCAAACACACACAAGACGTCCTAGGGTACCCTCCCCAGGATGCACAAAAACACCCAGCAAACACGAAGAACATTAGGGTACCCTCCCCGAATCGACCTTGATCTTATACCTCGGTCCGACCGTATTGAAAACAACAAACACCGCGTGTCTGGGGCGACAGAGGGAGCGATCATCGGCAGCGCGCCCAGGGGAACGATCATCGTTCTTCAAGGGGTCTGGCTGCTGACGCCGGGTACGGCTCCGCTCCTCTTTGGGCTTGGGCTGGGAGAAAAGCTCGCGAGGACAAGAGCCCAGGGCGCGCTGGTCATGTGATCGACGGGGGGACGCACGACAGACTCAGAAGACGCGGCAGGCGGCCACGGTGCAGGGCTACTGAGACAGAGAGGAAGGTCAGCAACAGCAAAAGATAGAACTAGGCCGTGCACAATGGTGAAGCAAGCCGCCACAGTACAGTTCTAGCGGCTCTGTTGCTGAGCAAGAGTGGAACAACGGGAACGAGCACCCTGACATCAGGATACCTGCGGATCTCGAAGCAAGCCTGCAAGCACCCGCAGATCATCGGCCGCGCGCCCAGGGCGCGCCCAGGGGAACGATGATCGGTGGCGCGCCTAGGGGGGGGGAAGGCAGAGGGGGCGGGCCTCCTGGAAGGCTCAGGCGGCCTCGGAGCAGCTTTCTGAGCCTTCTCCGAGGTCGCCTACGGCCCCTCAGAAGGCCAGAGGGCTGCCGAGAAGCCCCGCCACCTTCGGCGAAGGCCGCCCCCTCGCGCTTCCCACCTCGGTGCGCCGCAGAGACGAGGGGGAAGGGGACTGGCTCAGGGGGCGGAGGCCTCGACCTGGAATCGGCGATGCATCGCCGACAGGTCGGCGACAGGCCGCCCTTTGATCGCAAAGCCGCACGTTCCTGGGCAGTCCTGCGCGTCGATGTCAAAGCCGCGCGTTCCCAGGCGGTGTCGGCGATCCCGGGCGGCGATTGGGGAGCGATGCCTTCCTCCCTGGGCCCAGTCCCCCCCCCCAACGCTGCTCCTGAAGGGGACCCCGACGACCTCAGTCGCCGCCATCGATCGAGGATCAGGAATCCACCTCCCGTTTTCCGGGGCCAGGGTAGTGTCAAGCATCGAGGCTTCTTGGGCGCTCCTTGGCCTCATCGGGCCTCCGGCGGCGCCCTCGTCGCTCTCGAAATTCTGGTCAGAGCGCGCCCCAGGAGAGGTCGGGGGGAGTCGTCGTGGTCGTCGTGTCCGCCTGGTCCGTCGCTCTGGGGCCCGTCCCGTGCTTCGCTGGCCTTCTCGCCCGCGTTCCTCTCCTGCCCCTTCCCCGGAAGTGCTGGTCCGACCTGACCTGCACAGATGTCTCCACCCTGAGTAGAGAAGAGCGAAGGGACGGGCGGAGGAGGCACACGGGCAGCGGGAGAGGATGATGAAAGAGGAAGGAAAAGGGTAAGGCGAGGGATAGAGAGGAAGGATGACGAAGACGAGGGGATGAGAAGGAGGAAAACCATGGGGAATGCCCGAGGGCAGCGGTAGGGCAGCCTTGTTGAAGTTGCCCGCGAACGCGACGTGGGTGGCCGACAGGTACTGCACAATGCTGAATGCCAAGATGTTGTACACCAGCGAGGCCAAGGCGGAGCTGGCAGCGAACATGAATGTGGATTTGCTGTTCTCCCAGACCTCGACTGCGGCCCCTTTCCCTCCGCACCCCTCGCTCCCGTCCCCACCTCCCTTACTCCATGCGTACATACGTCCATCACTCTCTCCCGTCCCCCCTTCCACACACTCTCTGAAAACTCCTGGCTCCCTCCAACCTCCCTCCCTCCTTGTCCCCCCCCCCTGCCCTCCCCCACTCGCTCTGCATATCGCCCCCCGATCCCCGCTCACCCACTCCTCCCCCGCGCTCCCAAGGGCACTCCTCGCTCCCTTGCGCCGCTGCCGACCCACCTTCGCTCCACACGCCAAGCCTCCTCCCGTCCCCCCTCCGCCCCTCCACACGCCCCTCCTTGCCCATCCCTCCTCCCTCCCTCCCTCCGTCTCTCCCTGCACGCTCATCGTTCCATTCCCTCCGTTCCCTTCCTTCTCTCCCTCTCCCCACATTCTCTCCGCACACCTCGCCCCGCTTCCCTCATTCACCTCATCCCCCACCCCCCACACGCCGCACTCCTCGACCCCCATGCCCTCCCAGCACTCCTTGCATCCCCTTCCTGTCCCCTGCCCTCCCGCCGGCCCGCGCCTGTGCCACAATCCACGCGTCCGTCGTGTAGCCGACCCCGTCCCAGTGCTTCACGGGGTGCTCCAGGAGGAACACGAACGGCAGGAGGATGAGAGCGGCGGGGACACGCCGACCCCCCCCTCTGGGGGCGGCGGGGCTGCGCGGGGGCCCCTCCCCCCTCCAGCATCGGCGGCTCGACGCTGGGGCCCTGAGGGATGGGGCCCTGAGGACGAGCGCCTCGAACGGGTCCGAATAAGTGGGGTCGGAGGATACCGTCGGCCATTCCTCAGAGCCTCGTCTTTGAACCGCCGGCAGAAGGCCCCTGAGACGATGACGCGGGACCCCTCTCGGGGGGGCGCGCCTCTCACCCTCCGTCGGCGGAGCCGCCCTCTCGCTCCTCACGCACGCTCGGGCCTACATGGGCCTCCTCGGCCGGGGAGGGAGCCCTCGTGAGCGTCCCTCGGCGAGAGGGCCGCTCCAGGCTGGGCGTTGCTCAAGGGGTGGCGATGCGAGCGCGGGTCGGTCGAGCGGCCAAGGGGCGCTGGACAGCGAATTGCGCACTGGGAGGGGCAGGGAGCAGAGAGGCGGGTTCGGCCGCGAAGGGGAGGAGCCGCGGAGAGGAGGAGGGGGCAATGAACAGGGGGGGGCGAAGACATGTGCACCGTTCGTGCACCTTTTGGGCCCCAGGGTGGCCCGTCTGGGCCCCGTGAAGGCTCATTTCTTGCAGCCCTCGATCCGCCCATTCTTACCCCCCACACATGTCGAAACGCCCGGTATGCCCCCTCCTTCCCACACGCCAGGCCCAAAGCCAAAGATTGCTTGGGGTGGTCACAGGGCCTGCATTCCCCTACCCACTGCAAAGCTCGACGACGTGGCGGCGCATATCTTCGACGCAGAGATTTTTGTTTCACAAGGCCAGCCCCCGGAGCTCCCGACACTACCCCCAGGAAAGTTTCTGTAGTGGCGGGCGGTTTTCCGGTGCGGCCTCCCAGATTCCAAAAAGACACGCCTGTCGTGAGTTTTGCGCGGCTCAGTCTGCTCAGCCCGACTGGAGGGCTTGCGGAGCTGGCGCGAGACTGCTGGATGGAGTTGTAGACCACGGCGTTTGCCGCGTCCATCTTCACAGAGGTCTTCAGGATCCCGGCGAGGGCAAGGTTGACGCTACCCGAGAAGAGAGACACCTCGTAAGATGAGCAGGAGGAAGAGGAGCAGGAGGAAGAGTAGGGAGCGGAGGAAGAGGAGGAGGAGGCGGAGGAGGAGGAGGAGGAGGAGGACGGGGAGGACCAAGAATGACCAAAAGGACGAGGATCAAGAGCAGCAAAACAGGAAGATTAAGGAGCAGAGTGATGAGGGGAGGGTGAGGCGGAGGACAAGGAGGTGATGAGGAGGGGTAGGTGCAGGAAGGGGCGAGTGGGCTGGGGAGAGGAAGGAGGAATGAGTAGCAGTAAAATAAGGATGAGGAGAAGAAGTAGGGTCAGGAGGAACAGTGGCAACAGCAGGGGCAGGAACAGGTGAAAGAGATGGACAAGCAGTAGGGACAAGGGGGTCGGGCGGAATGGGAAGGAGGTGAAGGCAGGAACGAGAAGGGAAAGGGAGAAAGGATAGAGGACAAGATGGGTGCGATCGCGTCGAATCTGACATCCGATCATTCTTTCCCATCCTTTCCCATCGGTTTTTTGTAATGCACGGATTCGGGTATCCAATCGGTAATTAATTGGAGCGAGGTCGGGCGTCATCGTGGTGGGCGTGGAGACACTGCGCACGATTGAGCTGCGCCGTGCTCGGAGCAGGCAATCTCGAGCAGAGGCCCCAGCGCGCTTTCGACGCAGGTCTAGTGCGAAGCAAGAGGTGGTGACAGGAGCTGGGATTGACAGGGAGGAAGAATGGAAGGAGAAGATAAGTACTAAGGATGGAGGCAAAATGCAACACGAAGGGGGACGCGACGCCGCTTGCTCATCAACGCCCGCGGCGCTGGGCGCATCCCCCGCGCCTCCCTCCGCCGCAACCCGTTGGGCGTTGCGCCCAAGCCGCCCGTTGCTCGTGCCCGGCGCCGTTGGCTTCTGGCTTTGGCGCCGGCGGCTCGGCAGGCGCCCGCTGGGTCGCGAGCCGAGGATCCGCCGAGGAGGGGCAACGCATCTTGCATGGGCGCACCCTGCTGCATCCTCTGCTTCGACCCGTCGGGCAGGGCGTAGCGCCAAAGTCCAGGACCCGGGCGAAACCCATCATGCGGGTTCGCCAGATCGCGCAAACATGTGAGTCTGGTCGCTTCCTTTTGGTTTTCTGGCCAGGGGGGCAAACTTCTGGAACCACCACTGGGCTGCCATCGCATCTATGCAATCCGCGGGTCGTGCGTTCCACTCGGAGTCAAGGTCCGAGCTGCCCGCGGTATTGGAAAGCGGCAAGATGACGGCGGGTTGACTTGACGAAGTGATGCGGCAGCCCCATGATGATGCCACCAGGCGCGAATTAGGCTGCTGTGAAGTTACTTGGTGAAAGTGTTGTTGTTTCTATATGTATGTTTCTCTCTATCTCTCTCGCTCTTTCTTTTTCTCTCCCTCTGTCTCTTTCTCTCTCTCTCTCTCTCTTTCTCGCTTTCCGAATATCAGCGGATGCGTGTAGCTCCAATGTATCAGCGGTAACGTATCTCTCTCTCTCGTTTCTCTCTCTTTCTCTCTCTCTCTCTCTCCCTCTCTCTTTCTCTTCCTCTTTATTTCCCAACCATCCTGTGGTGTTGGGTCCTCGTTTTGAAGAGACAGCGCCCCGCGTTCCTTCCTCCTCCCGCTGCCCCCTCCCTCCTCCTCACATCATAATCATCATCATCAGCATCATCATCATTATCAACACAAAACAAGGATAACAATAATACGACCAATCCGAATAATCATGACCATCCTCACCATCATCATCACCACCACCAGCATCATCATCAGCATAGCCATCATCATCATCACCGGTCTCGGCACCGCCCCATTTAGACACACCCCATTTTGGGACCTCTCACGGGGATCGTGGCCCTATAGGAGCTCCACCTGAAGCGCCAATAGCAAAATTCGCATGGCGGCCTCGGGCCATTTCGGCACACCGCTCACGAGGGTCGTGGCCCCATAGGAGCTCCACCGAAGGGGCCAGTAGCAAAGTTAGCATGGCGGCCTCGGGCCATGTCGGCACACCTCTCACGAGGACCGTGGCCCCATAAGAGGTCCACCGTTGGCGCCAGTGGCAGGGTTCGCATGGCGGCCTCGGGCCATGTCGGCACACCCCTCACGAGGATCGTGGCCCCATCGGAGCTCCACCGAAGGCGCCAGAAGCAAAATTCGCATGGCGGCCTCGGGCCATGTCGGCACACCCCTCACGAGGATCGTGGCCCCGTATGAGCTCCACCGATACCGAAGGCGCCAGTAGCAAAGTTCGCACGGCGGCTTCGGGTTATTTCGGCACACCCCTCACGAGGATCGCTGCCTCGTAGGAGCTCCACCGAAGGCGCCAGTAGCAAAGTTCGCACGGCGGCCTCGGGCAATTTCGGCACACCCCTCACGAGGATCGTGGCCTCATGGAAAGCTCCACCGAAGGCCCCAATGGCAGGGTTCGCATGGCGGCCTCGGGCCATTTCGGCACACCCCTCACGAGGATCGTGGTTCCGTATGAACCCACCGAAGGCGCCACTGGCAGGTTTCGCATGGCGGCCTCGGGCCATTTCGGCACACCCCTCACGGGGATCGTGGCCCCGTAAAGGGGGCTCCACCGAAGGCGCCGGTAGCAACGTTCGCATGGCGGCCCCGGGCCATTTCGGCACACCCCCCACGAGGGTCGTGGCCCCATAGGGAGCTCCACCGAAGGCCCCACTGGCAGGGTTCGCACGGCGGCCTCGGGCCATTTCGGCACACCCCTCACGAGGATCGTGGCCCCATAGAGAGCTCCGCCGAAGGCGCCAATAGCAAAGTTCGCATGGCGGCCTCGGGCCATTTCGGCACACCCCTCACGAGGATCGTGGCCCCATAGGAGCTCCACCGAAGGTCCCAGTGGCAAGGTTCGCGTGGCGGCCTCGGACCGTTTCGGCACGCCCCTCACGATGATCGTGGCCCCATGGGGAGCTCCACCGAAGGCGCCAGCGGCAAGGTTCGCACGGTGGTCCGGGGCCATTGCGGCGCACCCCTCACGAGGGTCGTGGCCCCGTAGGAGCTCCACCGAAGGCGCTAGCGGCCAGGTTCGCATGGCGGCGTCGGGCCATTTCGGCACACCCATGACGAAAATCGTGGCCCCATAGTTGTGCTGCTTCAACAACCGCGCCTGGGCGTCGTACTCCGCCTTGTCGACGTGCAACGCCACTTCCTCCCTCATGGCTCTCAAAGCCTTCTCCTGCTTCTGCTCCTCGGTCAGAAAGACGCCGTCCTTGTCGTCGTCGGCGCCCGCGAAAACGGCCACGAACGCGTTCCTGAGC